GAAATGGCCCTATAGTATGCAGTGTTTGATAAACAGCTGTTTTACTAAATTCTTCTGAGGAAAAATTCAGTGCAGTCCTGTATCGTGATACGTATCTTATTGTGACTTTGCTGGTGATACACAGCCCTAGTCGTAATGGACAGTGTAACACAGTACGCAGAACAGGAAGAAGGAGGCGGGAATCGGCGAACATTTAAACCATTTAATAACAAAATAAACAAACACAAAAGTAAAGCGGCAGCCCCTCACGGACGACTGCCGCACACAAAACACAAATAAAGTCCAGGCCTGGTCCTCTCTCGTCTTCCACTGTCGTCGCTCCTCCTTTTATCCTTCTGGAGCTCCTCCGTGGGACTCGAGACCGGTAAGTGGCGCAGGTGTCGCTCATTATCATTAAACTCCACCAGCCTCGCTTCGCTCCCATGGCTCTCGGCCCCAGCCCACTCGTCACAGACAGAAATGTCAATGTTTTGGCAGACACGGCATGAAAAGAAATACTCCACCCACTGATGTGGCAGTGTGGTTAGTTTGTGATATTATTAGATACTGTAGTTGATCTGTTTGTTGGCAGAGAAGCTACTGTAGTCTTGTTCTGTGTGAAAATGACCACTGATATCCATTTTTCTTGAGTACAGGCACAAGTCTTTCACATCTACCTTTGTGTTCATACTGAAGCATATGTCATCCTTTCATGCTCAGAAGCCGGAGTGGGTCTTTGGGGCAGCGCCATAGACATTTGGGTCACGGCCCAAGCCCCCCTCCCTCGTGCAGTAGGGTTGACTGTGGAAAATCCCTGCTAAACACAGCTGGAGTCCTCTGAGAGGATTCGGCTCCGGCTCAAACTCTATTGCCAGCATGTTCGTCATGTCACCACATCAGCTGATACCCCATACCGCGACACATGCACATGGAGTGATGACATCACTCCTCAGCTGATGTGAAACAGAGGCTGTGTTGGTGATTGTGTTTGTTTGTCCTTTGTTTTGTTGGTTAAGCCTGTTTCTGACTTCTTAGCAAACTAGACTGACAAACAAATCATGCTCAAATCAAACCAACAAAGAAACACAACCAAACAAAAATAAAATCTAAAGACATTTAGAAATATTGAATTGTGACATCTAGATGTGTGTCATATCGTAAGGTTGGTCTTAGCCTCGTTTAACAGAGAGAACCAGGGGACTTTTGGTGGTGGATCTGGTGTTTCTCTGTGTGTAGCGTGACTGTGAAGTTTATTTTGAATAGTGTGAGTTTGTGCTGGTTGGTGTCCTGTGCTGCTGGGTCCATTATAGATTAGTGCCAGGACTCAGTCTTACTCACTGCCATCTGTTCACACATCTCCTACCATTCTCAGTTCCCCGCTGAAACTCAGAGACTTGCTCAAACTCTCATTTAGAGTACATTAGTGTAGAATATCACATTTAAACATTTGTTTATATGGCTGTTTTCCCTCATCAGGTTTATTTGGAATCACTTATTCATAAGGTTGATTCAGAGCAGCATGATATAAAGCACTGACACTTTTCATTATGTCACTATAATCATCTGTTCTGTTTGTGATGTTTGCAGCCATGGTGGTGTGATCTTCATCTAATTTCCTTTCCCCTCCTTATACCGCTTTAAATGTCTTTTACTAATTCATATTCTATTTCTCATATCATCTGCTTTTTGTAATGTCTTTTCTTGTGTCTTGTAGCCTACTGCTTTTTGTATCTTTTACTGCTTCTTGCATCATCTGCTATTTCTCATATTGTTTTTCACTACTGCTTGTGTCTTCTATTTATCATTTCATCTACTACTTCTCGTTTTCTTCTATTTTTCTACTTTTCGTGTCTTTTACTACCTCTTGTATCTGGTTCAGGTGTGTCCATACTCGCTCATGGAGGGCCACTCTCCTGCAGAGTTTAACTCCAACTTGCCTCAACACACTTACCTGGAGGTTTCTTTCTAGTGTGCCTAGCATAACCTTGATTAGCTGGTTCAGGTGTGTTTAACTAAACTGTGGTCTATTGGCCCTCCAGAAACAGGATTGGACACCCCTGATCTAGTTCTTCTTGTTTCTTCTGCTACTTATTGTTTTATGTACTGCTTCTCATGTTGTCATCTACTTCTCATATCGTCTTTTATTTTGCGTATCCTCCGCTAACTCTTCACCTTCATCTAATATTTCTTATATCACCTACTTTTTGTATCATCTACTTTCTTGCCTCTTGTCTTCACTGTTCTCTCCTCTTGAGTATTAACTTTGCTTCCCTTCTGTCTCTTCTCTTCTTGTCTCGTACTACTTCTATCCTCGATTTTCCTCCTACTACTTTCCGTCTTGTCTCGTCTCATCTCGTCTTGGCCCATCTCTCACCTCGTCATGTCTATTCTTTTGTCTTCGTCTCTTGTCTCCTACTTCACCTCTTCTAGTTTTGTCTCGCCTCATCTCGCCTTTCTTTTTTACTTGTCTCTTCTCTCCTGTCCTTTCCTCTAAGTCATGCTGCGATATATTGTTCTGTTGGGCAGGTGGATTTGCCATGTGTTTGTAAACCCTGCACACATAGACACAATGCAGGCGTGTCTTCACCTCAGATAAGCGACTGTATAACATTAGTGAACAATCTACGATTCTCTCTCTCTCTCTGTCGCTGCTATTGTGGGTGATGGACAGTATTGTGCTGGTTTGGTGAGGTGATGCATGTTGCGTCCTGACTCTGATCTGATGCTCCTCATACACACCGAAGCACCGAGATGTGGGAAAAATCAATATTATGAGACAACAGAGCGAGAGCTATTGACCTGACCTGAGGGAGAGATGAAGAATGAGAGACAGAGCGATGAAAGTGACTGAGTACAAGAACGAAATGCCGCACTAGAAACACAATCCAGAGAAGAAAAAGCCACAGCTTTGATGGATGAGTCACATATCGTCCCCGCAGTTGATGTTGTGTTGAAGCTCCATGAATATTTAGATACATTAGCAGATGAACACGAGCAATACGCCTAACAGCCTAACACATAGACTAATTTAGCTGTTTTGATCCCTCAATCATCTGTTCTCCTGCCTGGACGGATTCTGCTTGATGCAAGTCAGAAAATAGGTGGTAGAATATCTGATGCAATGCATTATGGTCTGTCATTATGTCATTAATCCAGTCTTGTCAGCATTAAGAGATATATCCCTTGTTTATATATTTGAACAGATATACACAGGCCCACATGCAATTCCTGCTCTCATTTAGGGGAGAAATTCTGTAGATAAGATTTGAGAACAAGATGTAAGTACTACAAATTTTGTTAGTAGCTGAAAACATGATCAAATTAGCCATGATTTGTCATAAACAAACACTCAAGGGCTGGGCAAAATGTATAATTTTGTCAATGACAGGCATTGCAATTCTGCAGAAATGTGCTGAGTTGTTTGTGGAGCCACAGATTCTGTGTGGGTACATTTAATACATATAAAGGATTTTAGCATTATATGACAAAAGTGCTACTACAGACTGGCTGTTTGTTCTTAGAGAGCTTGTACGTCCTTTACTAAAGCTCACTGTCATTTATGGCTGCAGGGGTATAAAATGTTTTGTTTTTAATTAATTGTTCAAACCTGTTACTAATTTATTGGTAGTCTCCGTGCTATATTTTCTCATATATCGCCTATTACCTATACTAAGAACCTTGAAGCTCCACACACATCTGCACAAAGTGTTTTGCTCTGACTGAGGAGCAACTACACTGAAAAAAAAAATCTGTTGGAATAACATAAAAAAAAATATGTACATCGGTTGCACATATTTTTATTATGTTCTCTCAACATAATGTATCTCTGTTTATGTTACCTAACTTATGTTTGTCAAATGAACATGATTTTTTAATGTTGTTTTTATGCTTTTTGTGCCACGTACCTCCTGTTGATTTAACTTGATTTTTGTTTAAAGGCACAATATGTAATTTTCGCCGCTAGAGGGCGCGTATTCAAAATAAACAAATAGACAAAGGCGTAGTTTGATGATGCCGTGACTGAGTGTGGAATCATGGGAGTTGTCGTCTTCATCCCCACAGCCGATGCAATCCGACAGGACTCGAGCAGAAATCATGTTCATGGATGAGCTAATGATTTATTAACATAGTAGAATGAAGCAGGGTGAGGCTGAAAGCCGTCGAAGCGAAACGAGGCCGCTGAACGAGCGTGACACACGGCTCGAAAGCAGCGGAGCTTTTATTATGCCACAGTCGACCGCTTCCGCTCCTTCCGGTCGTGCGTATGTGGGGGAAAAAAGCAGCGCTGTTTTATCATACTAGATACATTTGAAAGTTCTGTTATAATGCTACTCTGTGCGGTCGCCACCGGTCTATTAAAACACACAACATATTAAAGCGCCTTTGGTGTTTCCATGTTTTCTACAAAACAAAACCGGAAATCAAGGGTGTATGACGTCATTGGCAGGCG